TCTTTCCCTCACTTGTAAGGTACGTTGCTGTCATTTTCCCTCCTTCCTTCCTGGCCGTCCTTCTCAATTTCTTTTGCAAGTCCTTTCTCTTCCTTGGCCTACTCCAGTTTGCTGCTGTTCTCTAGGGCCTCATGATTTCTGGTTATACACATTTTCTGCGACCGAGCACCCTGTTTCCGTGTCTCAACAGCCATGCGTATGCTGCCGACCCCAGGTCTTCACATCTTGAGCATGTCTGCAAATGTTCCGTGGGTTTTTGCTCCCCGCCACTGTATCAGCCTAGCTGTTCACTGAGTTGGACTTGGGAGCTGTCCCTTAAATGCTTTCTGTCTCCAGTATTTCCTCCCCCAAAGCCATGGCTGGCAGAGGTGGAACATCCACATGGACACTCCTCTTCTTCTCCTCCACACAGTCTCTCTCAAGAGCCAATCTAAATTAATAATCCAGAGTTTGATGATTAAGCCAAATGATATTGCAACTTAATTTAAACCAAATAATCCAAATATTTACATTGCTTTCAGCTCATAAAGTGCCAATCCTTTCAGCACATTTGTGTTTATGTAATATGACGATTGTCAACACTATTTTATTGTTGAAGAAGTTAGGAAAATGCAAGGAGACATCAAACAATTTGTGAAAAAGTGAATTTTGAAGGTTTTTTTGCTGCACAAATTTTGAAATCTTTGCATAGTTTTTTTTTTTTTTTTTCATGATACACATTTTTCATGATTTGTGTTTTGAAGATCCCAGGTATAAAGAAGGCACTTTTAAATGAATTTTAAAAAAGACACTGTAGAATTAGTCTGATTGTGCAGTGGTTAAGCACTGTGCTTTGGGAGCCAGATTCCATATGGCTGGCCATGATTTGTATCCTGATCTGGCAGCTTGAAAAACAAGCAGGGCACATGTATACGTATGCTTAAAGTTCTCATGGGATAGAGAAGTGGAAGAAAAAGGAGTATGGCCTGGCCACACCCTGTTGGAGGGTGCTTTCTTTTTACTCTCTGTAGAATGCATATGCCCTCTGACCAAAAAAGAGGGACATTGTAATTCTATTCTCTCTTAATTTTTAAAACCATCTTAGTGCCACTACTACGCTTCTTATGCACTTACCAAAGTTTAATGCAGCTTTTTCTTTAACAAGCAAAATGGAGATAATAGCACCTACCCCCAGAGTTGCTGTGAGGATGGAGTGAGTTGTGTGGAGCAGAGCAGTGCCTGGCACAGAGTCGGTGATACACACACGTTTCTGCGGAGATCACTCTAGTCATTCTACTTGCCTTTGGACTCTTTAAAGCACAGAGAGCATTTTTTTTTTTATCATTTATGGGCTATACCAAGGTATAGTTCTTGCTCTATCAGAAAGGCTGAGCGCGTGTTTGAATGTTTAATTGTGCTTCAGACTTTGTTTTATCCATGTTGTTTTTGAAAACGTGAGTTGATAAAGGCAATCAATCTTGTCATTGTCAACTTGAAGGACTACTTTTAAAAAAGAATTATTTAATTTATTTATTTTAAGAGAGGGACAGAGCGAGAGAATGAAAAAGATCACATATTTTTCAGGGTTTAGACTGAAAAGTTTGTGACCATTACAACAGAGGCATGGTTGTAGTTCTTAGAAGTTATAAAATTTCATGCTTTCAAGTCAAGTTATATTTTAAATGTACCAGGAGAGTTAGTTAGCTATTTAAAAGAGATTTGGTAGCTGAAAAGGCGTATAGTGAAGTGAATAGTAGCATCTAAGTGTATCAGCTTCAGGCATTCAGATTTTTATTTTGAGTTTTTTTTTTTGAGAGGTTTTTGCTGTAGGGCGTGTGCACTCGTCAAAGACAGAGAGAGACAGAGAGACAGAAAGCGAGAAATCACCCCACAGGGGGGATGGCCATGCTGCAGTCCCTTCTCCTCCATTCTCCTCTCAGGATCTTGGGCACGCACGCACACGGACCCAGAGCGAATTTATGCCACCGGGTCTGGGACTCGAACTGTGGTTGACTACATGGGAGTCCAGTGATATAGCCATTATGCCAACTGCTGGTCCCTATTTTGAGCTTTTTTACTTATGAACGTGTATAGTGTTTCTTCATAATACCTGGTAGGTGGAAGGTATTAAATCAGAAGAGGTTAAATCATACTCTCGCCTCATTCTTACTGAATGTTTATTTACAAAATAAGATAAGAATTGGAAAGTACCCTAAGTTCTTGTCTGATTTATAGTTCTTTGAAGTGTGTGTGTGTGTTTAATTAGAAAGACAAAATTGTATAATTTAAAATACCCTGTTATTGGTAAATATTGATGTTTATGGAATTCGCTGTGAAAGAAGGCACAGGTATTAATTTAGGAAGGTTACAAAGTAAACTTGTGTTACATTAGGCCAGTTAAAAGCTGCAACCTTATTAATTTTTTTTTCAGATTTAGATCAAAGACATGCTTTTTTTTGTTTACTCTGTCAACTTTATTCAGGCTGTTGAATATAGTCGATATTACCTAATGTTTATCTTTTCGGGTAGGAAGATTTGCAGATAGATTCTTTTGGTTCTTAAGTGAATGTATCAGTCCATTGTTTTGCCATATGATTGATTTAAAAAAGGTTATTATTCAAAGGAGGTCTTTAATCCAAACAAACAGGAATAACCCAATATATTTATCTCTCCTACTTGGCAATTGGAGATACAGAACTAGTGAGCTAGAAACCTGTTTTCTTCTATTATTTATAAAGGATTGGTTTTAGTGTTTTGATAATTAAAGCTTTCCTTTATTCTTGAAATTTTAACTAGTGTTTTATACTTCATAATTAATTGAAGATATTAGATCATTAAGACATATTTCAGCAAGAAATGTTTATTTGCCATATCTTATATCTTGTATATAGTATATTACACATTAAGTTATATATTGAATTATTAAAATTTCTTGACAATAATTGTACACATTTATGGGTTACCGCATGACTGTGTTAGGTTCTGATTTCAAATAGCAACAAACAGATAGCTGTTGGGATTAATTTGGCCTGTACTCATAAAATTCAGAATGTCTCTAAGCTTTTACTTCAGGCACTGTGGAGCTACTATGTCTATCATAATTAAATTAAAGTAATTTAGACATTTATAAGATGTCATGTAAGGTTTCGTTTATAACTTTTTATAACTGGAAAGAAACATCGGCTTTCAAAATGAAAACTGTTCAGCTAAATTTTGATTTTTATGGAAGTGATAAATGAGTAATATAATGAAGTAAAATAGTGGCCCTAGACTTCCTTAATGACATCATTCCAATTTATTAAACAAATATTTATTGAGTTATCACAGTAGAATGCAGATTCTGCATTTGGCTAAGATTCTGAGGTTTGGGGAAGGGTATAAAGGTGAAAGTGAAGAGGTATATTAACAGAATATTTTAAATTACACAATTTGGTCTTTCTAACACACGCACACACACACACATACATACATTTTATGATGCACCGCACAGATGTCTTCCAATTATCTGTAGAATTCTGGGTCACCTTAGCTCTGTCCCCGTGTCAATAGTCACATGGGGAAGGGAAAGAAAATGGGGAGATGATAGAGCCGTGGACAGGTGCTCGGCCCCTTTCTGGGGTTTTAAGGCTTTTCTGATATCCCTTAGATGTAGACGAGAGGCTGACAGCTGTTGATCAAAGTCAGCCCACAGGTAGGTCTTATTCATAGGACTTAAACACCTAATTCAGATATTCACCATTTCAAAACCAGATTTCACAGGAAAACCCAAGTGGCGGTCAGCCTCTGTCAGCTTTTCTGCAAGGTGACTAGCCTGAGCGGAGGAGCCCCTGCCTCGATGGTGTCACTGGCCTGAGCCTTGTCTGGGCCTCCGTCTGTGGGAGACCTCGGCTGACTCTGGTTTGTGGTACTCTTTGAGGCTATCATGAGCCGTATCCTTCATTCTTGCCTCCTGGTATTTTCAAGCCTAAAAAAGTGAGGATTGACAACAGATAGCCTATAAAAACCAAAAAAACCCCAAAAAACCAGAAACAAAAAAACTGGAGGTATGTTTATCATGACCCTGATATTTTATAGGCATTTTTCATTGTTTAAAGTGTGTTTATTATGTTCATGGAAAGTGCTTATATTGCCTATTTTCTCTTAAATCCCTTTTTAAATTGCTGGACAAACAACATTTGTTTTCATTTCATTTCATTATAGAGTGGCCAGGAGACAAACTTATTTTAAGCAGAGTACTTCTACCTTAAACAAAGTTTTCTAAACTTTTCATACAGTTTAGATAGAAATTTTTCCAAGGCAGACTGAATTCACAAATAACATTTTGAGAATCAGATGATTTTTAAAAAAATTTCAAGCTGTTTTACTTTGTCTTTGTGCTTGTCCAATTTGTCTAGTACTAACAGAGGGTACAGGAGTTTTAATTATCAGGATTTCCTAAATTGTATAAGAATTATAAAATATTTTTCTTCTCTTTTCTCACAAAATTTTGCTAGCGAGTTGAAAATGGTGACTTCAACTGGATTGTTCCAGGAAAATTTTTAGCATTTAGTGGACCACATCCTAAAAGCAAAATTGAAAATGGTAAGTTATTTCTTTTATTGTAACCATCCAGAAATTTATTGCAGTTCATCTTCTTTAATTTCTTATTTCCTCAGATAATTATTTCCTTTGGTAATACTCTTCAAAAAACACTTACTAATAATTAAAAAAAAAAAAAGAATAGCTAGTGCGTTAATATTATACTTCCAGTAGGTGGAGCTATAATCATTGGTTTGAAACTGAAGAATTTAGGATTGACAAGTAGGATGTTCACTGTACCTGACCCAATTATTAAAGAAGAATCTGAGAAACAAACTTGCCAAGCCAATAAGCAGATTGCTAAATACTGTCAGTGGTTTTTGATTGTGTTCGGCAGTAGAGTGTTGTTGTCTGTTAAGGTATTTGGAGAATACCATGTTGAATGATAATTATGACAATAAATGTCATTTATTGAGCAAATACTATATTCTACTTACCATCGAATCACAGCATTATGTCCTTCAATGTTTACACAACTCTATGAGATATAGATACTATTATCTCTATTTTTTTTTTTGAGAGGATTTTGCTATAGGGTGCGTGCGCTCTCCAGACAGAGACAGAGAGACAGAAAGTGAGAAATCACCTCCCCCCACCCCCAGGGGGGATGGCCACACTGCAATCCCTTCTCCTCTGTTCTCCTCTCGGGATCTTGGGCATGCATGCACACGTGCCTGGCGTGAGTTTAAGCTACTGGGTCCGGGACGTGAACCGCAGTCGACTATGTGGGAGTCCAGCGACATAGCCATTACGCTAACTGCTGGTACCCTATTATCTCTATTTACAGAGGAGGAAATTGAGACTCCTTAGTAGGAATTTACTCAAGGTCACATAGTAATAGGCAGAACTGGTATTCTAGCCTAGAACTGGATTCCTGAAACACTCCCACTACACTGATATATTTAGTTCTATTGTGACAATTAGGAACAATTCTCAGGTGACAGTAAACTATTTATAAGCAGCGTACAGCATATATATTATCATGGGCATGCACACGAAGAAAAATCAAAACAAAAATGAGAGCCTCTTTAATGAACCATCATCAGTTACATGGGTTTTCTCATTACTATTTAGTTTCTACTTGTATATATACATACCTATTTTATCTGCCAACATTTCCTAGAAGTCAAATAATGATAAACACCAAATATTCAAGAATAATTTATGGAAGAAACATGTTAACAACAACAACAACAAACTTTTATTTTTGTACTCTATCTGGCTATAGAGGTGGAATACCAGTCCTTTGAGAGAAGCAAATTTGAAGGCCCTGGTCTGTATTTAGTCTTTCTTTTTCATCATCATCACCTATTGTTCCTTCTAAAATCTACTTTCATTGTGTATTACACATGCATTTAGATTTGATCATTTATTTGCATTCCCACAACTAGGCTTATCATTTCATACTTGTGACACATCTAACAGGGAACTTTGCTTGAATCATCACTTTCCTCTGGGCACAGGCAACCCAGGTCTAGAGAGTTAAGCTGACAAACAGGAAGTCTCTATGGTGAAGCCAGAAAATTAGATTGTGTCATTCCTGAATATGGCTAATGAACCTTCTTTGCTCAGACATTGATTAATTAACCTCTGTCACCTTGGGTTGTTAGGGATAACCTGCTGAGTACCTGAGGAATTGGTTTCTTTTTCTTTTTTTTTAAATGAAAAGAAAATTTTTTTTTTGGAGATTTTTTTTGCACCCGACACCAGATCTGGGACTTGAACTGCAGTCGACTACATGGGAGTCCAGCGACATAGCCATTACAACAATGAAAAATTGAAAAAATTTTAATGTGAAATTAACCACATAGGTATATCAGAATCTTCACCAGTTTCTTTCTTTTTTTTTGTTCTGGTTAGTCTACTTTATTCTTTTTAAAATTTCTTTTATTTATTAATTTTAATTATTTATACATTTAATTGCTGTAGATCATTTAGATTGTAAAGAGACTTTACCCAGCATGATATACACCTCAGTCCAGTCCAGTTGAGAATGCTATACATGTCCTCATCAACAAATAATAAACTATATCTGTGACTCACAAATGTCTTACCTCTCTGTTTTTTTTCCCCCAAATTTCCTTTCCTATGCTCTTCCCCTCCCACACTCTACTTTGGCTCTAGTGTCCATAATAATTTTTAATGCTTGTATGTACTCCAATCTTTCAGTCTCTGCCATAGAGTGCGGACAGTCTGTATATGTTAAATGGAGACATACAATGTGTCTTGTTCATAGCCTGACTTGCTTCACTCAACAACAAATCTTCCATATTCGTCTACTTTCTATCAAATTCCAGAGCCTTGTTGTTTTTTATGGTTGAATAGTGTTTCTTGGAGTATATATGCCGTACTTTTTCAATTTATTCATCCATTTGTGGACATTTAGAATTGCTTTCTGACAGTTGATCTTTCAAGACAGCATTGATTAAACTACCTTTGTGCAGATCATCCAACTCAGGCCCAGGAAATCAGTAGATGTATTGTTTCACTAGTGACTATATGGTTGGGTATTCATTTGACATAGCTGAAAGAATTTTGCCATTTAGGATTCATGTTTTTCATCAGGTTTTCTTGAAAAGATGCAAGGTAGAATGTGAATGTTATTTAAAATATTTTAATAGAGGCAATACATGCTTATTTAGAGAAAAAGAAGGAAATGCAGATGAACTGATTATAAAAGCTAAAAAGTAACCTATAATTTTGCCAGTTTACTGGTTTTACTAGTTTTTTGTGATTTAAATTTTATACATATACATCTCTGCATTTTGTTTTTTTATTTTTTAGAGATATTTTTGCTATAGGGCATGCGCACTCATCAGAGACACAGAGCAAGACAGACAGAAAACGAGAAATCACCTCCTCCCCCCAGGGGAGATGGCCACTCCACAGTCCTCCTGCATTCTCCTCTCGGGATTTTGGGCACACCTGCCCACACGCCCAGCCTGTTTTTAAGTCACCGGGTATGGGTCTTAAACCGTGGTCCACTATGTGAGAGTCCAGCTATGGAGCCATTATGCCATCTGCTGGTCCCCATCTCTGTATTTTTTACTGACACACATTTTAAGTCTCTCAATGTATATACATTAATACATTGTGTATGTGTATGTATACACACACATAACATTTTAAAAATAAAAATGGGATTATAACATAATTACTGTCATATAGCCAGCTTCTTTCACTTGGCATATCACAGACTTTTTTCCATGACAATAAATGTAGATCACATTATTTTCCATGACTGCATTCTATATTACTCTATCATGTGACTGTCAGAATTTCATTAATTTAGTGTTGAATGATATCTAAGTTATTTATAGTTTTTCACTTTTTAAAAACAGCTGTGGTTGGTATGTATGCTCCTATATCTTTTTTTTTTTTTTTTTAGGTGTTTGTCATAAAGTGTGTGTGCTTGCCATAGAGTAACAGAGAGAAAGTGAGAAGTCCCCCGGGGAATGGCATGCTGTAATCCTTTCCTATCCCTTCTCCTCTTGGGATTTTGGGCACGCACGTACTATTTCCTGTGTAATTTTCAGGCCACCAAGTCTGGGACTGGTCGTCTGTGTGGGGGTCCAGCACCTTAGCCACCATGTTACCGGTTGGTCCCTGTTCTATGTCTTCTTGCAGTTCCGGTATTTTTTTTTCTAAATTCTCAGAGTCACTAGATAAAACGATATGTACATTTTATATAATAATTCTTAAATAGTCAAAAATTAAAAAAATATAGCCCATATTGCAATATAGAGAAAGAATCCCCGCCTGCGTTTACCTATATGCTAGGAATGGGGCTACGCCTCTTGTTCACACGTCTATGTGATACTAGAACCATTCTCTGGAGGAGGTGGTGTGGTTTTTTGGAAGAGAAGATGGAGATGCAGAGAAGTTACATAATTTGCTCAGGTTCTACAACTGGTAATTGGCAGCATGTGGACTTAAACATAGGACGTTTTTATCTCAAAATCTGTAGTTTGAAGAATTTTATTATAAAGGACTTACATGTTCACTGTAGAAAATTTAAGCAGATAGAGTTAAAACTCTTACAAAATTATGTAATAAAGAAATAACCACTGTTGAGATCATTATTCTAAATGTGTCTCTTTTTTTCTTTGCATATATTGGGCTATATACTGAGAAAAAAAGATCTAAAAGTGCTGCTTAGCTAATACGTGACAGGTTTTATGATGCCTAGAACAAATTTCATTTAAAGCTGTGATGGGAAAGGTTGCTATTTACTAGAATCCCCATTTGAATATCCAGTATGCAGTAGAAACTCGGTCATATTTTTTTTTCAACAGGCTTTGCCTTTGTACATACTTTCTGAACTTAAGAAAAACAATTTTGTGATGGAATTAATAAACTTGATCCAATCACAGTGAGATCTTGGTACATTCTTCTCTTTTTTTTTTTAATTGAGAAACTATGTTTCCGGAGAGGCTAAAAGTCATTTTAAGGATGAGTAGAAAAACTGAGATTTTTAAGGAATTCACAATCAAGTAACTGTTGCTAGGATATCGCAAAAGGGAGCCCTAAAGTCTTGGGATCCAGGCAGAATGCATTATAAGAGTCTTAAATGTGTGTGCGTGTCAGCAGAGAGCAACTAGGCATTCCAGCCATCACGATTCACATCGTTTTGACAGAGAAAAAGAGCCCTCCTTTTCTTATGACACAATTTTGAACTGAGAAATGAATGATCACAGCAGTCAAATAAGACATATTTTGGATTTGGAATCTTCTAAAAAAAACTCCTTTCATGGCAATGCCATTCTTACCTCTATTTAAAAGAGACACACACATGGAAAGATAGCTTTGAGACAGGATTCCATTAATTTGAAGCATTAGCTGGAGAGAAGAGCCTGGTAGGTCAAGGCCTGGCTCACCCCTGGCTGTGTACACTTCAGGGAGCACCACAGCTTCTCTGAGCCGTTCCTTTGGGTATCACAGCAGGGAAACAGGATGTGTGTTGCAGACATCTAGTACGGATGAGAGATGTCGTATGAACTGCCTTGCCCAGTGTCAGGCCCGGAATAAGCATTTATCAGACAGCAGATCCTATTATTACAGTTTTATCACTAATGCGCCTAATCACCCTACTTAAAGTCTCCCTATATTTGCCTGCCCATTGTCAAGTTTTTTCTTTTTTTTTTCTTTTTTTGGAGAGGTGTGTGTGCTTGCCAGAGAGAGAGAGAGAGAAGGAGACAGAGGCAGAAACAGAAAAATCACCCCTCCCCCCAACGGGGATGGCCATGCCACAGTCTCTTCTCTATTTTCCTAGGATCTTGGGCACTCACACATACATGCCTGGAGTGATATTCAAGCCACCAGGTCCAGGACTTGAGTCACAGTGAGCCACGTGGGATTCTAGCCACATAACTGCTATGTTATCTACTGGTCCCCAAGTTTTTACTTTCAATAACGACTGGGTGGACTAGATACTTAACTCTGCTGTTCTTCAGTTTCCAGTTTAAAATATGGGCTGGGAAGAGATCAATACTAAAATCTCTTTTTGCTCTGTGGTTGGTCAACTCACCTCTTTGCCGATGTCAGGGCACCATCTAGTGGCCAGATGAAATGTTTTGTCACACTGAGGGAAGGCTTCCCATGTGTCTGTGAATCCTTCTCCCTACTCTTGGCATGATAGAAAAGCTCATATTTCCTCATGCCACTACAGTTCTTTTTCATTTTAGGCTATAAATCTGTTGCTGAGAACTGACTTGACAAAATAAAGCAAGTAGGAAAACAGACTTGATTTTCGCAAGAGGAAAAACATGCCCTTCCTCTGTATGTGTCTGTGTTACTGTTTTAAATAAGCTGAGTTAGCTCTTGGCTCAAAAGCAGTGTGGCAGGTGCACACCAGGTACCTTGGCTGTGGAGTGGTTAGGCCTGTCTTCCCATTCTGCTCATCCCTCTTGTGACCTTGGCCAAGTGTACCAGTTAGGACTCGATCTCAGGCAGCAGAACCAGCTCTGGTAATTTAACCGAAAAGGCATTATTGGGCAGTTCCTGGACTCCAAGAGAATGACAGAGAACTGGGCTTGGAAAGTGAGCAGAACCCAGGAGAGACAGTGGATCTGTGGGTCCAGGCAGACCAATGCAACCACGCTACTTGTTTCAAACAGAGGGGTTCAGTGCAAGAGAGCCATAGCAAAGAAGAATAAAGAGTAAAAAGGCAACATTGAGGAGGAAACCAGAATATTATGGAGAAAACAGCTAGAGCCTTTGAAGCTGGGGACAAAAGGGATGAAAGTAAAGTTGGCAGAATCTGGGAGCTCCGAGGAGGAACCTGATGGCTGGTGCGCTGACCTTTGAAGGAAATTTCACATAGCCGGCATTTGGATTTGAGGTTGAGGAGGAGGGACCACATGGCTGTTCTCTGGGCTCTGAGGTGGGTGCCGCAGGCTAAGGCTGAAAATGCCACTCTAAACTGGAGGGCTCTGGCTGAGCTGCCTTCTGCCATTGAAGTGGTGCCAGCCAGAGAACAAGTGCCTTCTCCCACCTCCAGCTGCCCTGTGGTGCCTCCCTCAACAGGAGGACAGCTAGAAAGGTCTCCTGAGACTGTAGGCACCTCGGCCCAGCATCACAGACAAGGCTAAGTGGGTTGGCTTGGAGAGAGAGAGAATAGGACATGACCAGCATGAGCAGACCTGTGTCAGGGCACACCCAGCCAAGGGCACACAGTTCAGAGACTGTCTGTCCCACGTGGCTAGCAGCTACTGCTGTCACCCTTGAATCTCACTGTCACATGGAGTTCTGAACGAGACAGTTTCACTCACTGGCTTGCCATGAATGAGTGAACTCTGAACTGTTACAGATGTAGTCATCGGTGTGCTGGGAAGTTAGGCCCCTTAACCCTTGAGGCTATTTGGCAAGGCCTGCAGTGACCAAAGGCCCCACTGGTTATCTTGGCCAACTGGCCCAGTCTCGGTTTGTATCCCTGCAGGTCCCAGTGAATACTCACACAGCGGAGCCACTCAAAGATAGAAAGGGGTTTAGAGAAAAAGTATCTCCCCTCCCAGAAAGAAAATGCCCACAAGATGTTACTCTTTTAGTAACATGGATTTTTAATTAAAATTTTATATTTTTAATTGAGAATCAACTGGACTGGGGAGACATGTTCACATATTGAAATGTTCATTTTGTAAGCTAAATAGTGTGATTGTATAAAAAATTTTTAAAAAATTTAAAAAATGTTTAATTTTATTTATAATATATAACATAATATTTCAAAATATAAGATATGTATACTTATAGAATGATGAAGTCCAGTGTACATACACCTTGCCTGACATCAGAGGGTACTTTAAAAAGTTTGTGGAAAAACATAATTAAAATACAAGTGTATTTTGAGCCAAAAGAATTAAAAAATTCATGTGTAGATTTTTTTTTATAATATGCATTTTCCACAAACATTTTGAAGATCCTTCCTTGTATTTCTCTTCCTCCCTCTCTCTCTCTCTCTCTCTCTCTCTCTTTGTGAGAATACTTAAAATCTATTTTCTTAGTGATTTTCAAGTATATGACTGGCATGTCAGAAAAGTCATGACAGGGACCAGCAGTTAGTGTAATGGCTATGTCGCTGGACTCCCATGTAGTTGACAGCGGTTCACATCCTGGACCTGGTGGTTTAAAACTCACGCTGGGTGCATGTGCGTGCGTGCCCAAGATCCCGAGAGGAGAATGGAGGAGAAGGGATTGTGGTGTGGCCATCCCCCCTGGAGGGTGATTTCTTGCGTTCTGTCTCTCTGTCTCTCTCTCTATCTGTCTGGCAAGCACACATACCCTATAGCAAAAACCTCTCCAAAAAAAAAGTCATGACACATTTTTGCATAGAAAAACAGAAAAATGCGTTGTTACTATAGTCACCATGTTGTACAATAGGTCTCTTGGACTTATTCCTTGTGTCTCATTGACAATTTGTTTTATTTGACCAATATCTCCCCAAGACTCCTCTGTTTTAATTTCTTAGTCTTAAACGGGATTAACCATTTTTAATTAATAGGTAAAGAATCAAAAGAGAAATTATTTGCAATTGTGAAATTGTGCACAATTATATACACAACAAGTTCTTAGTAATCGTTCATCTCTTTGGCGGAAATGCTACTATAAATGAAAAATACATCTGGCAAAGATACTTCAGCTTAGTTGATAAGTGTGTGTCCTATGGGGAATAATGCTCAATGGTAAATAAAATCCCCAAGAATCATTCTGGGTCTACTTGATGCATTTGAGTCCTTTAAGAATGCCTTTGTTCTTGGGGTGGGAGGAGTATCTCCTGGGATTTGAATCCTTAAGGTTGAGATTTTGAACTTTAATGAGCTTTTCTTAATACTGTACTTAGAGAAGTTTTTTGTTTGGGTTTGTGTTTAATTCCTACAGTGTTTACACTGCCGCTTTTAGGAGCTCACTGCAACCCTTTATTCCCTACGGAACACACCTTCCTCTGAGTCCTGCTGAGATTGGTACACTTGATTGTTGAGGGTTCTGTGTTTCTAGGTTATGGAAGACAAAATGCACGTCTTTTGCTTACCACTCCTTTCCCCCTTTAGGTTACCCCCTCCATGCTCCCGAAGCCTACTTTCCTTACTTCAAAAAGCATAATGTGACTGCGATCGTGAGGCTGAACAAGAAGATATATGAGGCAAAGCGCTTCACAGATGCTGGCTTCGAGCACTACGATCTCTTCTTCATAGACGGCAGCACGCCCAGCGACAACATCGTGCGACGGTTTCTGAACATCTGTGAGAACACCGACGGGGCGATCGCGGTTCACTGCAAAGGTGCGTGCGAGGCCTCGGCGGGCACTGTGCTTGCGAAGCCAGAACACAGCAGAAAACGCAAAACAAAACCAGAGCCTTAGAAAACAGTGAGATGTTTGTATTAACAAATTTTTATTATTCTTGTTTTTTAAATTTTAGAAGGCTGGACCGTGAACTCATTTTCAGAACCCCTTCCTGAAGGAAGGATTGCTTGGGTGTGGACAGTCAGGGTGGTATGGTTTCTTTGACAAGGAAGCTTTTCTGAACTTAGGTTTCCAAGCCCATGCTCATTACCATTATGTCAGTGGGAGGGGAAATAGCAGCAGCATCCTTGGCAGGGCCATCTTTAAAGAGGTAACATTGCCAGGAGACAAGGGCTGTTAGTTCCCTTTTCTCCTTTTCTTAACTACTCATCTCCTCTTCATCTTCTTCCACACTTCTGCTACTCAGTGCTTTCATGTTATGACCCCCATTTCACCCTTGGCTCCTCCCCTGCCCTGCTAGTCTTCTGCATCTGGGAACTGAGTGTGTTCCTGGCCTGTTGCTAGGGGTAATTGGCTGGCCTACTTGCTTCAGCAGCAAGTGATTCTGCCTCTTGGAAAGAACTGAAGACATTATGTTATGTAAATGACTCTCTGGTCTCTCTGGAATACTTTGGGGCTGGGGTTGTTCAGAGTATAGGAGGTGTAGGGTTGCTAGATTTAGCAAATAAAAATACAGGATGCTAAGTTAAGCTTGAGCATTAGAAATCCTATGAATATTTAAAAAAATTTTAATTACAAGGAGAACTACAAAGAGTTAATGGAAAAACAAACGCTTATTTAAATATGAGTCTATTTCAGTCAACAAAAACCTTTGAAATCTAATCATAGTTTTGTCATAATAGGCACTTTCTGTGAACTTCTTGAAGACCCTACTTATTGTCCCAACTATTACATGAGACATACATTCTGTATTTGGCTCCTCCCCTGCCCTGCTAGTCTTCTGCATCTGGGAACTGAGTGTGTTCCTGGCCTGTTGCTAGGGGTAATTGGCTGGCCTACTTGCTTCAGCAGCAAGTGATTCTGCCTCTTGGAAAGAACTGAAGACATTATGTTATGTAAATGACTCTCTGGTCTCTCTGGAATACTTTGGGGCTGGGGTTGTTCAGAGTATAGGAGGTGTAGGGTTGCTAGATTTAGCAAATAAAAATACAGGATGCTAAGTTAAGCTTGAGCATTAGAAATCCTATGAATATTTAAAAAAAATTTTAATTACAAGGAGAACTACAAAGAGTTAATGGAAAAACAAACGCTTATTTAAATATGAGTCTATTTCAGTCAACAAAAACCTTTGAAATCTAATCATAGTTTTGTCATAATAGGCACTTTCTGTGAACTTCTTGAAGACCCTACTTATTGTCCCAACTATTACATGAGACATACATTCTGTATTTTATCTGGCAACCTTGTGTCAGCTACTCAGAAAATAGGAAATGGCATTTGCTTTAAGCTTAGTTATTAGACTCAGAAGAGGCTCAAATTCTACTTTTGATTTTCCTGTATGGTGACATATTTTTTTGTATGGGGTCTTTGGGCTGCCCTGGCCAGGCACCTCAAGTTCCTCCCATGCAACTCTTCTTACTGCCGCTGGGTGGTGCTGTTCCCGCGGTTTTATGCCTGAGAGCCGGTTCTGCTGTGTTTTATGCTAATTGTCTAGTAGGAGTTGGGGATGCTGCAGTTCTTTTCCTGAGCCTGGTGCTGCTGTAACTGACTTACTCAGACGAGTATGGCTTTGGTTCTGACAGAAATTAAAATACCATTTTGTAGGCCCTTGTTGCTATGTTTAAGATTTGAGTAGGTGGAGGTACTTTGCTGAACTTGTGAGCAGCGACAGGAAGCTGCATTTTCCCAGAGACTCTGAGAGGTGGGAAGGAGCAGCACATGGCCGAATTTAGATGAGGGCCCCTGTGTCAGGCTTCATCTGGACATAGTTTGTCTTCCTCCTCTCTGTTTCCTAGGACAGGCCCTGATGTTGCCAGATAGCCCATCTCCGGGACAGGGTGCTGGATTGTAGGAAGATGTCTCTTGCTCACCTTTTGCAGGGGCTGGATGTGATTCATTTGCACCCTAGGTTTGCTTTACCATCCCGTAGTATTAAAGATTGCCCAGGTACAAGAAACGTCCGCATTTTCTATCTTTCTAGTATCTTGAGAGCTAATGGGAATATAGCACCTATCATTGTTTAGTGGGAGATAATCCTGTCTTCTCTTTCAAAAGTTTGGTTTTGTGTCATAAAAATCAGTATTTTTTTTCTGGAGTTATTGGATTATTGGAAAAGTCGTGAGCATTTTTGCATTAAAAAACATAAAAAAAAAACCATCGTGACTTTTCTGACAATACAGTAATTTGGCCTTATTTCTGAATCAATTAATTTTATGATTATTAGGTCATGTAGTTTATCTGCATGTGAACAATCTGTATCTTGGATTGACAAATTCAAGGGGGGAAACTCTCATTAAGACCCAGCATTTTTTAGGCCAGCTGGTGGCCTGGTGGTTTAGAAGACTGGATCCTACATGACTGACTGTGTGGTTTGAGTCCCAGACCCAGTGGCTTGAAAAAACACATGGGGCATGTGTGGATGCATGCCCAAAATTCCTAGAGGAGAGTGGAAGAGAAGGGATTGCGTTGTGACCATTCTCCTGGGGGGTGATTTCTCACCCCTACCCCCCCCCCCACATCCCCCCCCCTTTTTCCCCCCCCCAATTGTCTCTCTCCAGCAAGTACCTGTGCCCTATAGCAAAAATTAAAACAACAGCAACAATGACAAAACACTTAGTATCTTTCTTACTAGTATTTCTCACTAAGAAATGTTGTGAAAATAAAACTGTCTGGTGTTAAACATTCTTGTTACAGGTATTCTCTGTAAATCCTTGACCTTTGAAGGTAAATGTTTATATTGCAGAGGTGTTTATATCCTTATTTAAAATAAAAACTTTTTTAAAGGAATTATTTATTTAATTCCTTTTTTCTTTTCTTTTCTTTTTTTCTTTTTTAATTTGACCACCAGAGAGAGAAAGGGAAGGTGAGAAAGCAAGCCACCAGGTCTGGGACTTGAACCATGGTCAGCCATGTGGGAATCCAACGCCCTTATTCACTGCTTGTTGGCCCCAAAATCAGAACTTTTAACATTGAGGTCAGTTATTATATAGGAAGGTCACATTTACATGTGGTGACATCTTTTTGAGAGTGTTATTTCATTTGCTTCCACTTGTGCATAGGTTAGAATCTTTGATAAGAATTGTACCTTCGGTTTAATTACAGCTGTATTGCCTTTAATAGCATACTTATCTACTACAGGCCTGTTAATTATTTTGACATTTGCCCTAATTAAGTCAGCTTAATTTTCTGGGAATTCAAGCAGCACTCAGTATTTTAATTGAACCAAAAGGAGGAGGGAGTGAGAAATTTATCCTATTTCAAGTGAACTCTGGTAGCTGCTGAAAAAAGAATGAATATGTCACGCCTCGACATGTACAGAGTTAAGTCAGGAACTCAGTTGCTGGGAATGTGTGAAACCTTAGAACGACCCAATATCTATGGACTTAGGAGTTGATAAAATGGATGGCTACAAATTCTTGAAGTTTTTTAGCACAAATAATAATCTAAAATACAGCCACATTGCGATATTCTAATCTGAGATTATCGATGTTCTATAGGGATTTCAGAAAATGCCTGGAACTGTGAAGTGATTGGTGTTTGACTTGGTATAAATAGAATGCTTTTCAACATCTTGTCATGCTGTGCCAGGGAGCCCTTTAATTACGAATGCTTTAAAATTTTGTTAAAGTTTTTATAGAAACTTAGTGAAATGTTCCTATTCTGTTCAGTTGTGGCAAGAGTTGCTAACTATTGAGTGCTAAGTGCATTCTTTTTATAGAGCCAAATTATAGACTCTTTATAAGAGGGGGATGTTAGGTTCAGAGAAATCTGAAAAATCTCTGCACTACCTTTTCAGTGTACGTATGACTAGGAGGCTCGGGAGGGAATCAGCGCCCTTCCACAAGGAGGGTGGCCATGAGAGATGGCCTTGTCTCCGGACAGAGGCCCACGCTGGAGACTTGAAGGAGGAACTCAAGGAACTTAACTGTGCTTTGGCTCCCACTCCAGGACGTTACGCTGTGTTTTGTCTGCCTGGTTAGCTGTAGTCCTGACAGGTATCTGAGGAACTAAAAACTATAGGCTCTGGTTAAAACAGAAAGGCAAAATACTCTTAACTCTTCATTGCTAGTAAAGGCAGGGCCTTCTGAGACCATAACGAAACTTCACTCTTTTTAAAAGAAAATTGAGGACCTGCAGGTGGCATGGTAGTTCAGGGTGCTGGACTCCCACATGGACACCATGGTTTGAGTCCCAGACATGACAGCTTGCTTTCTCACTTTCTTTCTCTCTCTCTCTCTCACTTTGTCTCTCTCTGGTCAACTTAAAATGAATAAATAAATGAAGTTAAATAAAAGAATTCTTTAAAAAAATTGAAATTTGATGTAGGGCAAAAGATACTTGAGTTGAAAACAGGGCACACATACCCCCTAATCTAATAAAATAGTGCGTGTGTATTTCCTGAAGGAAGGGTTAAGGGA